TTTTTTTTTTTTTTGAGACAGAGTCTTACTCCATCACCCAGGCCGGAGTGCAGTGGTGTGATTGTAGTTCACTGCAGCCTCCATCTTCCAGGCTCAAGCAATCCTTCCACCTCAGCCTCCTAAGTAGCTGGGACTATAGGCGTGCGCCAGCACACCCAGCTAGTTTTCTGTTTTTATTTTAGTAGACACGAGGTCTCACTATGTTGCCCAGGCTGGTCTTGAACTCCTGGTGTCCATCCATCCTCCTGACTCAGCCTCCCAAAGTGCTGGGATTACAGGCCTGAGCCACTGCACCTGGCCATGATTCACTTTTTTTTTTTTTTGGAGCTAGAGTCTTGCTCTGTCTCCCAGGCTGGAGTGCAGTGGCATGATCTCGGCTCATTGCAACCTCCACCTCCCGGGTTCAATTGGTTCTCACGCGTCAGCCTCCCGAGTAGCTGGGACTACAGGTGCACCACCATGCCTGGCTAATTTTTGTATTTTTAGTAGAGATGGAGTTTCACCACGTTGGCCAGGCTGGTGTTGAACTCCTGACTTCAAGCGATCCATCCACCTCAGCCTCCCAAAGTGCTGGGATTACAGGTGTGAGTCACTGCACCCAGCCGACTTCTAATGAACAGAATATGGCAAAAGCCCAGGGAAGTCACGTCTGATATTAGGGTACAAGGAGACTGTGACGTGCGTCTTGTGTGTGCCCCCACTTGTGTGTACTTGCTCCAACTAAGGCAAGCCAGCTGCAGTGTTGTGAGCTTCCCTGTGGAGAGGCCCATGTACCAAGGAACTGAGGGTGGCCTTTGGGCAGCAGCCAGCAAGGCTGAGGCCCTTCTCCAATGACTTTGGAGGACTGAGTCCTTACAATATCCATGCATGTGAGCTTGTGAGTGGATCATTCCAGACAAGCTTTCAGATGAAACCACAGCCCTGGGAGACACTTTGACCACAACTTGTTGAAACCTTGAGGCAAAGGCACAGAGCTCAGCCACACCCACTTTCCTGATACCATGAGAAAATAAATGTTCTTTTAGGCTGCTAAATGTTGGGTTAATTTGTTATGCAGAAATAGGAAACAAATACAATCTTCTACCAGTAAGGAAGAGTGCACCTTCTTTGCTTGTCACCTTTGGATTCCTGAGGCAACGTACATCATCCTTAATATGGCTGCGAAGCGCTTAACTTACTGGGTGACTTGAAAGCGTGCTTTTTTTTTTTCTTTTTTCTAGACGGGGTCTGGCTCTGTTGCCCAGGCTGCAGTGCAGTGGCTTGATCATAACTTACTGCAACCTCCACCTCCTAGGCTCTAGCGATCCTCCCACCTCAGCGTCTGGAGTATCAGGAACTACAGGCACATACCACCACATCCGGCTAATTTTTATTTTTTTAATTAATTAATTATTATTATTTATTTTTAAGACAAGAGTCTCCCTCTGTCGCCCAGGTTGGAGTGCAGTGGCACGATCTCGGCTCACTGCAACCTCCACCTCCGGGCTCAAACGATTCTCCTGCTTCAGCCTCCCGGGTAGCTGGGATTACAGGCACCTGCCACCACGCCTGGCTAATTTTTGTATTTTTAGTAGAGACGGGGTTTCGTCATATTGGCTAGGCGGGTCTGAACTCCTGAGCTCAAGCGATTCGCCTGCCTCAGCCTCCCAAAGTGCTGGGATCCCAGGCGTCAGCCACCGCGCCCTGACACAAGTATTATTATAACAGTACCCACCTTGTATATTTTTTAGCACCTGGTTTGAGTCCTAGCCGTGTTGATCCCAATAGCCATAGCTCATCCATTTCGACTCCGAGTGGAGTTCCATGCCCTGGACCCTCGGCGGAGGCCCCATCCCGGGACGCCCGCCTGGCAGGGGCAGCTGCACCCCAGACGCCCCATCGCTGCGGGGCCCAAACCTAGTCGTCTGCACGTGTTCGGGGCAGGGCGGGTTGCCTTGGCAACCAGCAGCTCTCCTAGCAACTCTAGGCCCCTAGAGATGGCGTCAGTAGCCCGCGCCCGGGCCTGGAACCGCCCTCCGTGCTGCCGTCGCTTGCCATTAGCCGGCGGAGAGACGGACGCTGACCTCGTCCAATGGGAGGCTCCGCGCTCATGAAGGCGGGACTAACGCTTACCTGGGGCGCGGGTCCCTGCCGGAAGCCGGCGTCCGCGTCGCAGCTGCTCAAGCTTGGGTGGGCGAGGTGGGCGCAGGTAGGAGCGTGGGGCCGCGGCGGGGTGGCCGGCGGGTCAGGGCGCCGAGGTGATCCAGAGCTCCGGGGCGGGCTCCCGCGAGGCTCCGCCCCCTCCACGTGGGTGCGCGGAGGCCTGGCGTGGCGCGATTGGGCGGCGGCCCTGGGGTCCCCGGTCCTGGGGAGGCTGGTGCGTCCCTTGCAGTCCCGCGCGGGCTCCGACACCGGCACCCGCTCTGGGTTAACTCAGTACAGGCGAGCGGAAGGGACGCCACTGGCTCCTAGGTCTCAGGCCGTCCGCCCTCGCTGTGGCTCTGGTTTAATTGTCTTCCTCTGAAGACTCCCTGATTGCCTTCCGAGGCTTTCAGCTCCCACTTTCTCTCTTTTTTTATTTTTGAGGCAGTGTCTCATTGTGTCACTCAGGCTGGAGTGCAGTGGCGTGATCATAGCTTACTGCGGCCTCCACCTCCTGGACTCAAGCTGTCCTCCCGCCTCATCCTGCCCAGCAGCTGGGACCGCATGCGCGCGCCACCACACAGGGCTAATTTTTTAAAATGTTTTTTGTAGAAACGGGGTCTCACTATGATACCCAGGCTGGTCTCGAATTCTTGGTCTCAAGCGATGGATCCTCCCGCCTCGACCTCCGAAAGTGCTGGGATTACGGGAGTGAGCCACCAAGCCCGGCCTCACTTTCCATCATAAGCATGCTTTCCATTCCTTCCTTCCTTCCATCTTTCGTTCATTCGTTTTTAAAAAACGTTCATTGGGTTCCTCCTGCACTGTTCGGGGCTTTGGGCTACAGCTGTCAACAAGTGGAGACAAGTCGGTGATCTAGTGAACTTCCATTCTGGAGGGGAGAGACAGATGACCAAGGTGCACAGAGCAGGTGGTGATAAGTGCCGTGGAGAAGATGAGAACAGGGGGTTGGAGAGTGGAGAGGAAGCAGGAGAAGGAGTGAGGCACCAGAACATTCCAGGCCGGGGCAACAGCAGGGAGCCCAGTGTAGCTGTGGCCAATTTGGGAACAGAGAAAGAGGAGGTGAAGCCCAGAGATGCGGGGAGGGGCCAGTGGTGTGGACCTTACCAACTGGCAAGGACCTTGACTTTCCCTTCAAGTGGAAGGGGACAGCTTGGGAAGTTTTTGAGTGGAGGTGACACACAATCTGATTTAGGGGTTTAAAAGCCATCGTGAGAGGTGGTGGCTTGGACTGGGTACCTACGGGATCATAAGGGAGTCACATTCTGGGTGTATTTCAGTGGTAAACCGACGGGAGGTGATGGTAGGTTGGACGAGTGTGTGAGAAAGAGAGGAGTTGTGGATGGACCAAGGTTTTAAGCTTGAGCTACAACGTGAACCTCATCAGATGGATGTTTTTGGAGAGGATGAACACCGGAAAGCTCAGGTTTGTGGAGGGTGATCAGGGTATTGATTACAACTTCTTAAGTTTGAGATGGTATGTGTGTAGATGACACATATAGGTACATATGTATGGTTTTATATATATAGTTATGTATATACACAGTTTATACACACACACACACACACACATATATATTTTTTGAGACAGAGTCTCACTCTGTTGTCCAGGCTGGAGTGCAGTGGCGTGATCTCAGCTCACTGCAACCTCCACCTCTTGGGTTCAAATGAATCTCCTGCCTCAGCCTCCCAAGTAGCTGGAATTACAGGCGTGCACCAGCACACCCAGCTATTTTTTGTATTTTCAGTAGAGACGGGGTTTCACCATGTCCCAGGCTGGTCTCCAACTCCTGACCTCAAGTGATCTCCCTGCCTCGGCCTCCCAAAATGCTGGGATTACAGGCGTGAGCCACTGTGCCTGGCCATACACATATATATACATACATATGTGTGTGTGTGTGTATGTATGTATGTATACATCTGTATAAACAGTGTAAACAGAGGTCAGGAGTTCAGGTATGTACATGTATATATATGTCTAGGTACATGTATATGACCGCATATATGTTTAACTGTATACATGCACAGTTGAGTTGGCGTGTAGGTCAAGGATAGGGTTAATAAGAGACCTGTAAAGAGAGGAAACAAAGTCATCAGCATCTAGTTGTATTTGAAGCCACGTGACCAAATGGGGTCACGAGGGAGTGAGGAGGCTGAGCACTAAGCCTGGGTCCTTCAGTGTTCAAGGACAGGCGATTAAGAGGTGGGAGCAAAAGCAGGAGTTGTGCTGTCTGTGCTGGATGCCGGGTGAAAAACGCCTGTCAAGAAAGAAGGAAGGATCAACAGTCCAATGCTCTTAGGTCAGATAAGTTGCATACTGAGAGTTGGCAATGGGATTTAGCCAGGTGGGTGTCATTGTGGCAAGGTGGTTGGGGCAAAACCCTGATGGAATGGGGGGAGAAAAGAAGTCAGAGACAGGGCAGGTAGATGACTGTTTCTTTCCTCCCCTCCCCTCCCCTCCCATTCCTTTTTCTCTCTCTCTCTTTTTCTTTTTTTCTTTTCTTTTCTCTCCTCTTTCCTCTCATTCTGTCGCCTAGGCTAGAGTGCAGTGGCGCAATCTTGGCTCACTGTAACCTCCACCTCCCTGGTTCAAGTTCTTCCCCTGTCTCAGTCTCCCAAGTAGCTGGGACTGCAGGCACCCGCCACCACACCCAGCTAATTTTTGTTTATTTTTAGTTCAGACAGGATTTCACCATATTGGTCAGGCTGGTCTCGAACTCTTGACCTCAGGTGATCTGCCCGCCTTAGCCTCCCAAAGTGCTGGGATTACAGGTGTGAGCTACTGTACCCAGCCTTGCCCTTTTTTTTTTTTTTTTTTTTTTTTAAAGAGACAGGGTGTCTCACCCTGTCACCCAGGCTGGAGTGTAGTGGCATGATCATGATTCGCTGCACCCTTGAACTCCTGGGCTGAAGTGATTCTCCTGCCTCAGCCTCCCAAGTAGCTGGGACTACAGGCGTGGGCCACCATGCCCAGCTAACTACAAAATATATGTATTTTGGGGCCAGGTCTGGTGGCTCACACCTGTAATCCCAGCAGTTTGGAACGCCAAGGTCGGAGGATCGCTTGAGCCCAGGAGTTTGAGACCAGTCTGGGCAACATGATGAAACCCCATTCCTACAAAAAATACAAAAATTAGCTGGACATGGTGGCGTACACCTGTAGTCCCAGCTGCTGCAGAGGCTGAGTTGGGAGGATCGCTTGAGCCTGGGTGGTTGAGGCTGCAGTGAGCTGTGATCATGCCACTGCATTCCAGCCAAAATCTTTTTTGTAGTGACGGTTTCACTATATTGCAAGGCTGGGCATACGGCTTGATTTTTTGTAGAAAAAATATGGCACAAATTTGGTTCTCACAACAAACTTTATAGCGAACAATCTTTCTCCCATTTATTATTATTGTAAAGTAGCACGTGGGTGTTATATTTTTATTTTATTTATTTATTTATTTATTTATTTATTTATTTATTTTTTGAGACGGTGTCTTGCTCTGTCGCCCAGGCTGGAGTGCGGTGGCGCGATCTCGGCTCACTGAAACCTTCACCTCCCAGGTCCAAGTATTCTCCTGCCTCCGCCTCCAGAGTAGCTGGGACTATAGGCACATGCTACCACGCCCGGCTAAGGTGTTACATTTTTAAATTTATGGTAAATAACTTGAGAGGGATTATAGTTTTTTTTTTTTCCCAGTATATCGAGGGGTTGTGGAACCATCACCACAATCTAATTTTAGAACATTTTCCTTCTCCCACAAGAAATCCTGTAGCCCTTCGTGGTCACCCACTCTTCCCTCCACTTGCCCTATCCCTAAATAATCTCTGATCTCCTTTCTGTCAGTATAATTTACATATCCTGAGCTTTTCACAGAAGTGGAATTTGCAGTGCGGAGTCTCGGGGGTCTGGCTTCTCTCGCCCAGCACAGTGTCTTCTGGGTTCATCGTGTTGCGGCACGTGTCAGTGTCCCATTTCCTTTGGTGGCCGAATAGTATCCCCTGTGCGAATGCGCCATGTTTGGTTCCCCCTTCGTCCATGGATGCACAGACACGGAGGTTGTTTCGACTGCTTGGATATTAGGCACGTACTGCCGTGGACATCATTGTACACGTTTTTATGGAGATGTGTTCGTTTCTCTTTGATTGGCATTTCCTAAATGACCCATGATGCTGAGCTGCGTTTCATGTGCCTGGTGGCCGTTCATATATCTTTGGAGCAACATCTCTTCAGATCCCTTCCCCATTTAAAAACCGGGTTATTTGTCTCCTGTTGTTGAGTTGTTGTAGGTCTTTATATATTCTGGTTACTAGTGTCTTGTCAGATACGTGATTTGCAGGTATTTTTCTCCAATACTATGGGTGGTCCTTTTTTTTTTTTTTTTTTTAAATACAGGTTCTCACTCTGTTGTCCAGGCTGGGTTGTAGTGGAATAATCATGGCTTATTACAACCTCGACTTCCTGAGCTCAGCTCATCCTTCCGCTTCAGCCTCTGAGGTAGCTGGGACTCCAGGTGTTCGTCGCTATGCCCGGCTAATTTTTTGTATTTTTTGTAGAGATGGAGCCTTACTACGTTGCCCAGGCTGGTCTTGAACTCCTGGGCTCAAGCAGTCCTCCCACCTCCCAAAGTGCTGGGATTAGAGGTGTGAGCCACCGTGCCCGGCCTGGGTTTTCTTTTTGCTTTGTTTTGTGTAGAGATGCGGTCTTGCTGTGTGGTCGGGACTGGTCTGGAACTCCTGGCCTCAAGTGATCCTCCTGCCTCGGCCTCCCAAAGTGCTGGGATTACAGGCGTGAGCCACTGCACCCAGCCTCTTTACTTTCTTGCTGGCATCCTTTGCAGCACAAAAGTTTTACATTTTGTTGTAGTCCAATTTATTTTCTTTTTCTTTTGCTGCCTGTTTTTGGTGGCATATGTGAGAGGCCATTGCCCAATCCAAGGTCATGAAGATTTACTCCTATGTTTTCTTCTATAATTTTATAGTTTTAGGTCTTCCATTTAGGACTTTGATCTATTTTGGAGTTAGTTTTGTGTATGGTGTGAGGTAGGGCTCCAAATCAATTCTTTTATATGTTGGTAGCCAGTTGTCCTGGCACCATTTGTCTTTCCCACTGAATTGTCATGGCACTGTTGTTGAAAATCAGTTGACAGTAAATGAAAGTAAACGTCATTTTCCATAACAAACATTCATTATCTCAAAGCTTGAGTCACTTTCCCTTAGAACTATTAAAATAAACTTTTCCATAATATGGAAAAGTCTTTTATCCCTTTTTAGCAAATAGACATAGTGATTAAGTTTTTAAATGATAACTTACAGAATGAATATAGATTTGACTTAACTTTTATAGTAATGGGTATGTAAATATTTGCTGAACTTTTCTTATTTCTCTCACAAGGTAATTGGCTGGCATGGTCTTTTGTCTTTTCAGAGCCCCTGTGTCAACAGTATCTCATTCTTCCAAGATTTCTTATTACACAGCTAATTGAAATCTGTAGCCTCTGGCTTCTGATGCTTTTTAAATGTAAGGCTCAATTAAAGAATAAGGGGCTTCGGGTTTTCTGATTTCACAATAGGAGTATTCTTTCAGTGGGCTGTTACCAGTGACAGCCCCAAGTGGGATGGAGGGAGCCCTTGTGCAGACTCTGCCCTTTGGACGGGGCGTTTGCTCTTCAACTGTCTCCTTGGTTTCTGGCCTCACCTAGCATCCCAGGCCTGCCTTGACCTCCCCTGACTCTTTTTCACAGCTAGTGGTATTTAGACCACACCTCGGCTCTAGGTGGGCTCAGTGCTGCCAGGCCCTTTCCATGATGATCATCCTTTAACTCCCACTCTCCCGTCACCTTTCCTGCTTTACTTTTTTTTTTTTAAAACACAAGGTCTCATTCTTTTGCCCAGGCTGGAGTGCAGTGGTGCAATCATGGCTCACCGCAGCCTCAACCTCCTGGGCTCAAGCAATCCTCCCACCTCCGCCTCCTGAGTAGCTGAGACCACAGGTGTGCACCACCAAGCATAGCCAATTTTTAAAAAATGTTTTGTAGACATGGAGCCTCGCTATGTTGCCCAGGCTGGTCTCAAACTCCTGGGCTCAAGCAGTCTGCCTACCTCAGCCTCCCAGAATGCTGGGATGACAGGCGTGAGCCACTGTGCCTGGACTGTTTTAATTTTGTGGTGGGATTTGGCTTTCTTGGTGTTCCCTGGCTTACTGACGTGGTCCTTTGTGGGTGTGTGTATGAGCTGTCCGGGCTGGAGGCTGTGTGGTGTGTGTCTGAGCTGTCTGGGCTGGAGGCCATGTAATGAAGCAGCATGCTGGTTGTTGAGTTCCTGTCTCTCGGCTCCCCAGCACCTCTGTGGTACTCTCCCACCCCCACCCACTTGGGGGCCTACATAGCCTGGGGCTCTGCAGAACACTTTTCTGTTCTCAGCTCCTTTTAAGGCTCTAGCCTGTAGGGGCAGCAGGGGAGACTGGGAGCTGGAGGGTGGGGAGGAGTGTAAGTAAGGAGGAGTGTGGGTGAGGGGGTGGCCGTGGGGGGGGGGGGGACAGGAAAGGGGGGGGGGGGACAGGGACATGGGTTCGGGCGAGGGCTGCTTCTGCTCCTGCTGTCCTGCCTGAGCGAGCCCATGCAGGAGGCTTGGCTGCAGCAGCAGGTGTGGGCTGGGCTCCTGCTTCTCCCTCCTAGAAGCAGCCCGTTCCCTGCCCACACCCCACCCCAGGTTCTTCCTTAGGTCCCAGCCACAGCCGCCAGTACCCCTCCATCAGGGACCCAGGGCCTGCTACCCCAGCCCCTCCAGCAGGCTCCCAGGTCTGGTGGCCTCAGCTGCCTCTTTTGGCTCCCTCTTCACACAGTCCACAAAGGACATGGGTTCTGCCGTCCCTGGACTTCTCCATCCTGGCGTGCTGTTCTAGAGACAGCTGTGCTGGAGAAAGGAGGCCTAACCACATGCCCCTCATACGTGGCCTGCTCCATACTCCTTGCATGCTCAGAGGAGATCCCAGACTCAGGGTGGTCCTTGAGCCCCTCCACCCAAGGTGGCCAGGTGTCCTGTGATGGGCAGGGCTGGCACCCACAGCCCGGGTGGTGCCACAGCTTCCCTAGTTGATGGGGAGCACGAGTTGTTATACCCAGACCGTTTGTTCCCCAAAGAAGACCACCAGAGTCCAGAGTCAAAGCCAAGCGGCAAGGATCTTTACTACAAGTTCGAACTTGGTCCCTCCATTCCACAGCATACAAGAGGGCCTCGAACAATGCGAGTGCTTGCTTTTTATAGCCCGATGTAAACAGGATATGTAAAGTTACAGGGAACAAGGTAGTTCTCTCGGTTACTGCATTACAATTGGTTAACATTATACATTTAGCATTCCTTATCGGAGATCTCCCAGGTGATGTTTTTCTGAAGTTTGAAAGAAATATGGAGGAATGTGTTTGTGCTGGGCTCAGGAAGTTGGGAGATATATGGGGGATGTGCCTCATTCCTTTCAGAGTGAGCCCATGATAGGAGAAAGTGAAAACAATTCAAAATATTCAGTGATTAGAGAGCAGGCAGATTTTCACTTTTGGGAAATTATGATACTGTCACTGAAGATGGTATTTCTCTCAATCTTAAAAGCTTTGTGTTCTGGCCGGGCGCGGTGGCTCAAGCCTGTAATCCCAGCACTTTGGGAGGCCGAGACGGGCGGATCACGAGGTCAGGAGATCGAGACCATCCTGGCTAACACGGTGAAACCCCGTCTCTACTAAAAATACAAAAAACTAGCCGGGCGAGGTGGCGGGCGCCTGTAGTCCCAGCTACTCCGGAGGCTGAGGCAGGAGAATGGCTTAAACCCGGGAGGCGGAGCTTGCAGTGAGCTGAGATCCGGCCACTGCAGTCCAGCCCGGGCTACAGAGCAAGACTCCGTCTCAAAAAAAAAAAAAAAAAAAAAAAAAAGCTTTGTGTTCATGTTCAGTTAGAAATATAGAATATATAATCCATGTATGATTGCAGCTGTGTTAAATAAAAACAGTCAGAAAAAAGACCGAACGGGGCCGGGTACAGCAGCGCACGGCAGTGGCCCCAGCGCTTGGAGAGGCCGAGGCAGAGGATGGCTTGAACCAGGGGGTTTAAGACCAGCCTGGGCAGCATAGCAAGACCCTGCCTCTACAAAAAATTTAAGTTAGCCAGGCATGGTGGCACACGCCTGTGATTACAGCTACTCAGGAGGCTGAGGTGGGAGGGTGGCTTGAGCCTGGGATTTTGAGGATGCAGTGATCCAAGATTGTGCCACCGCACTCCAGCCTGGGTGACAGGGTGAGATGACCCGAGATCGCACTGCCGCACTCCAGCCTAGGTGACAGTGAGATGAGCCAAGATTGTGTCACCACACTCCAGCCCGGGTGACAGAGTGAGATGACCCGAGATTGCACTGCCGCACTCCAGCCTGGGTGACGGTGAGATGAGCTGAGATCGCGCCACCGCACCCCAGCCTGGGTGACAGGGTGAGACCCTGACTCAAAAAAAAAAAAAGATGGAAAGGAAATACACCAAAATGTCAAATTCGTTGCCATGGGTGATGAAATGTGGGGATTTGAGTTTAACTTTTATATGTTTTCCATATTTTCTGAAATACTTTTTTTAAAAAACGGGAGAGTGCCCTATTTCTTTTTATTTAAAAATATTTTATATGAGCTAAGCCTTTTATTTCCTTATTTTCAGCAGTTTACTTTCTCTGTTGCAGGATGGCAAAACAGAAGAGAAAAGTTCCTGAAGTGACGGAGAAAAAGAACAAAAAGCTGAAGAAGGCCTCAGCAGAGGGGCCACTGCTGGGCCCTGAGGCCGTGCCAAGCGTCGATGGAGCCAGCTCCAAGGTAAGGCCGCCAGTGCTTCGCTGGCCCCGCCCTCTGGGATCCACCTGTTTTCTGATCTAGAGGGAGGGGGCGGCTCAGCCTGCTGGTCTCTGTGGAGCAGAGGCTGGAACAGATGCGGAGGCGTGGATGGGCTTGGTGCCTTCCAGAAGCAATTGTAGGACAAAAAAGGATTTTAGTAAATTTTGAGTTGGAATCCCACGATTGCCTTTTTTAGCCATCAGGACACTGCTGTTTTGGGTGCAGTGATGTGTAGGGGACTTGGTGGCGGCACTCAGGGTGGTGAGGGGCCTGCAGCAGGCCTTTGGTTGTGCTCTGGGAAGGTGTGGGCGGCGGCTCCTCACCTGGGCATGCGCAGGGGCGTGGCCTGAAAGCCTGTGGTTAAAAACGCACATCTAGAAATGTTCACGTCGAATAACATGGTTATTGTCCGTATGAAAACCACCCGTTGGCCTCACTTTCTAAACTGTGCAGTGGATTATAAATAATGTTGAGATCTGAGTATCCACCACCATTCACCTGAAAAGATACGTGAGCCATCTTCTCCTAAAGTTACGCATTTTTATTCCTCGTTTTCTTAAGACACAGTCTCGCTGTGTCACCCAGGCTGGAGTGCAGCATCACCCAGATCACCCAGGCTGGAGTGCAGTGGTGGGATCTCGGCTCAGTGCAACCTCCATCTCCTGGGTTCCAGCGATTCTCCTGCCTCAGCCCCACAAGTAGCCAGGATTACAGGTGCACACCACCGCACCCAACTAATTCTTTGTATATTTTATAGAGATGGAGTTTCACCATGTTGACCAGGCTGGTCTTAACTCCTGACCTCAAGTGATCTACCCGCCTTGGCTTCCCAACATGCTGGAATTACAGGCGTGAGCCACCGCACCTGGCCTGCATTTTTATTCTTTTTTTTTTTTTT